GCTTGGAATGAATTTTTCTGTATGAAACTGTGTGTTTTGACAATGAAGTGGAGATCTTTTTTAAACGTTGGAACCTCATTTAATTTTGTGTCTTATAGAGTTTATAATGAGTAAAAGATTATATAAGTGTGATAATTCATCTGTAAACCTAGAAATGTGCAGCCAATTTTGAAAGAGATGTACCCTAGCTCAGAAAAATTTTATTGAATAGGTTAATGCTGTTGTAATGAAATGCTTCTTTTAATTAAAAAAAATAAATAAATAAAATAAAATAAATGTAAAAAAAAAAAAAAGTTAAGAGTCTTATCTAGAACCTTCAGCCAACATATTGTTTTAAATTCTGACCATGTAAATCCAGCCTGGGAATGGATGAGATATTTGTTTCTTTAGGAGCTAGTAGCCGTCAGAAAGAAATGAGAGCTCAGATGTTCTGACAGTCCACTATCCTAGCTGAGTCTCCAAAGCTGAAGACACGCCTGCCTGCCTCCTATCTAGGCTGCCAGAACAGTGCTTGTCTTCGCCTGTGTCCAGACCTCCCTTTCGCACATATCATACAGAAATCCCTGTGCTTATATATTTCAGCATTCATTATTGTTCTAGTGAAAAAATAGATCAAAAATGAAATGCTATTCAGCAGTTAAACTGAATTCATTGGCTCTACGTAATTCAGCACAGATAGCTTACAAAAATTACTGAGTAAAAAAGCAAGTTGCAGATGTATACATGCATTATTATGCAGATTGTGAAACTATTTAGGAACTGAGGAAATAGTTCAGTTGCTAAGACACTTGCCATCAAGCATGAAGACCTGAAATCAATCCCAGCACTAAGCAAAACTCTGGACATGCTGGCATATGCTTGTAATCCAAGTACTGGAGATGTGGAGACACAGCACCCTGATGTTTGCTGGCCGGCCAGCCTAGACTAATCAGTGAATACAAGTCCCAGTGAGAGATCCTGCCTCAAAAAAAAACCAAGGTAGATGGCAAGGAGGAACACTGAAATCAATCACAGGCCTCTATACATATGCACACATATACATATGCATTTGCACATATGTATTCAGGACATGTACATGTACCTACACATACTCATATATATGCACATAAAATATTTAAAACACACACCAGAAACTTAGTTTCCTCTTGGGAAGAAAAGAGAAAGAAGAGTTCAGGAGATGCAATAGAAAAAGTGCTGATATTTCAGGCTAAACTGTAATATTTGAAAACTATTGAGCTAAAGACAAAGTCAAAGTTCTGTCATTTTGCAATCTTTTTACAATAAGCAATATTTCTGACAATTTGTGTGGGTTTTGTGGTGGTTGGCATGGTCTTACTCCACAGCCCAAACTGGTTAGAATTTGCTGTGTATCCCCGGCTGGCCTCAAAGTCTTAACAATTTTCCTGCCTTAGTTTCCAAAGTGACAATATTATAGGCATGAACTACCACACTCATCTCTTTAACTTATCAGGGGTTTTTTGGCTAAAATAAATTTTATTAAATAGTAGATTTATGTATAATTCACAAATTATTTACAAAACAATTGCCAATCTTTGCCCAATTTTCTGTCTCTGTACAGATTTGGAAATTTTGCTGTGAACAACTCTGTAAAATATTAATGCTTTTAATATACGTGAGTATAATTTTGTGCTTTTTAAATTTTTTATTATTTTTACTTTATGTGTGCATTGCCTGCAAGTATCTAAGTGCACCTGTGTCATGCAATGCCCATGGAGGTAAGAAGAAGGCACTGGATTCCCTAGGAACTGGAGTTACAGACAGTTGTTATTGGCCATGTGGGTGCTGGGAATCTAACCCAGGTCCTCTGCAAGAGCATCCAGTTCTCTTAACCACTGAGCCATCTCTCCAGCCCCAATTTTATACTCTTTAAAACTTTTCCTTTGAAAATTCAGTTTTTGCCTCACTGTATTGCTCTGTAACACCATAACAACATTAACTATTTTTTTGTAGTCCATTTGATTTTGTGTTTTCTGGAATTTATGTTTCTTTGGAAACAAAAAGGAACCCAACACTGCATAATAGATAAGACTGTATCAAACAAAGAACAAAGCCTCATCCCTAAGGGCACTTATAGTCATAAGCCTCAGGGACAGAGGACAACACACAGCAGGCAGTGTAGGAAGAAGGTCTTAAACTGGGGAAGTGGGAGCCATTAATGTTTTCTTGGAATAGGTGGGGTTTCTGGGTGATTCTGAAGATAGGAATGCAAGAGCTCGATTAATACCCTGATGGTATGCTGCTCTATATGTCAAAGTTGGAGGGGTGGAAGTCATAAAGTCTAGTGTGGGCAATAAAACAAAGGCAACAGTGAAGAACATTTAATAAGAATAGACAAAGGGACCCACATAGACAGAGCTGGATGCCTTGGGAAGTGGGGTTTCCATGAAGGGTAGAAAGGTGGATGATGAGAGCAGTAGGGAGTACATGGTCAAAGCCAAAGGGAATAGCAAGCTCAAAAGTGGTCTACTAATTTCAATTTGAGGTATAATCTGGTAAATTTCAATGAAATTGCAGTTTCAGAGACAAGGATATATAGAAAAGATCAAAAAGATACATTGTATCAATGAGTTCAGATTTGTATAATGAGATGGACGTCAAAGGAGAGGGCTAGAACTGCCAATTTTGTGAATAAGTACACGGTCAATGCTATAAGAAGACAATGGAAGAAATGTGAAGGCTCAACAGTTATTAATACCACAGCAAGTGGGATTGGGTGCAGGGGAAGCAAGCTAATAAACTTTATAACACAACAAAAACTTTCACAACTAATGGCAAGATTGCTACTATAAAATGTGAAACAGAACAGAAACCAACCTCTAAAAAAGGAAGCTTAAAAAGATAGAAATAGGACATAATTAATGAAATGCAAAACATGATTCTAAAGAAGACATAGAGAAATTGCCAAACTAATCCTTTATATGGTGAAGGAATACCTTAAATTTAAGTTATTTCTAACCAATTTGTTTCAACCTTCATTCCCATAAAGACTTTAAATATTAATTTCATTCTCTGTCATATTTTTCTAAAGGACTAAGCCATATATATGTCTGGGATATTGGGATAAATTTGTTTCTTAAATTTCAGCGCTTCAGGGAAAGTCACAATGCAGTAACAATAAAGCTATTCTACATATCGCCCTCATTAGGAATCACCGCATCCTCTTGGGTAATTCAGAGCTGAAATATTTCCACAAGGCTCTTACATAATACTTCCTACTAGCGGTGCTGAGGGATGCACTGCGATTTGTTTTGGCTTCCAAAAAATCAACTTATTCTGGGAAATTATGCCTATTAAACCCAAGTAAAGTCGACTTTGCAATGAAAATGAATAGATTGCTGATCAAAAAAAAGCCAAATTAATTTAAAAATTATTATTCTCAGCTAAAGAAGCCTGACACAAAAGAACACACAGTATATGAGTTTACTCATGTAACATTCTACCAAGTGTTAACTAATCTTGAGTGATGAAAGTCAGATCAGTAGCTCTGGGAAAAAGGAGGGGTGTATCACAAAGAAGTTTGAGAGCAATGGAAATTTCTGTATTCTGTGTCAGTGGTTACATGAATTTATATATCTGTCCAAACTTGTGGTACTGGGCACTTTAAGTAGATTCATTTTTCTTCTCAAAGTATGCCTAAATTATGCTTAAAACCTGACTACATAATTTCAAAATACAAAGTTAAAAATGTCAACGAGGGGCTGGAGAGATGGCTCAGCAGTTAAGAGCACTGACTGTTCTTACAGAGGACCTGGGTTTGATTCCCAGCACCCACATGGTGGCTACAAACCGTCCTTAACTCCAGTTCCAGAGGAATCTGAAGTCCTCTTCTGACCTCCGTGGCATTGCACAACACAGGTGCACTCACATACACGCAAGCAATACACTCATACACATAAAATAAAAAATAATAAAATTTTTTAAATGTTAACTAAAGACATAATAAGAATAGATTCGATGAGGAATTTCTTCAATAATCTGATCAAGAGTCAAGTCCTGCTTTATACATGGGGGCAAGGAAAGCACTGAATGTTGGTGCTCAGTTCTTTGAAGAGCCTGCTAAGTACTCTGGGCCTGGGATGCATCTTGGAAACGGTTCCTCCCTCTCAGGAGAGGCTTCTTCACAGAGCAGCCATCTGAACAAACAATCTGAAGTCACACCATGCTAAGGAAGAGCAGCCTCCTTGATCATTTTCAGTTTCCCCTGAAATAAACAGTCAGAACTCCAGTCCACTGCCAAGAGCTCAAGTCCTCAGTTGGGCAGGAACTCTCAGCAAGTATGTGTCTGGAGGGAATAAGAACATCCTGAACCTGCACATCTGGCCAAACAAGGAGCTGCCTGCCCTATCCCTTCAGCAGTCAGCTCTTCTCACACTACAGATAAAAACAAGGAAGGAGCAACACACCACCCAATGTCCACCTTCTGGGATTTTCTTCTGTGCATAATAGAACTTTTCATTTCAAGTTGAGTGGTGAGGATGCCTTGAACCAAAGGTAAAGGCAGGGCTAGGTGTTCTGGAATCACGCATTTCCCTTTCGTGTGAAATATCTGCTCAGAATAATGAGTGCTCACCCTAATGTGCTGCCCACCATCTCTAACTCCAGTCTAAACAAAGCTCACTCTTATATTTTCAATTGTCTTAGAGAAGAGGCTAGAAATAGTGACATTAGAAGAGTGGTGTCACTTAACTGTGTCAGGGCAGTTCTGATTAAGAAAACCTTCAAAAATAATTATTTCTTCTCTGAATGCACCATCATAGGGCTAAACATGCACACTTTAGGGTCTCAGCTAGCTTCAATTTTCAGTTCATTTGCAATAAAATGAGATGATAATAAACATCCTACATCATAATTAATCTTCATCATAAGATGTTGATATAACAAAAATCAATGCATAAAATATAGAAAGTGTTCAAAGTATTGCCAAATACACAAACAGCATTCAATATATAGTATTATTTGGTAAGCAAAAAGATTTTATATTTGGTCTCAGCTGAGATTAAAAGGGTAAATCTTGAGAAAGGATGGGGAGAAGACAAAAGGAGGAAAAAAAAAAAACAATTTTCTTTCCAATATATTGAAAATACCCATGAGAAATGCTCAGTACCTAAAGGGCATTTCTGTCTTGCTGCCTTTTCAGGAAGTAAAAAAAAAATCACTATTTTTATGAAAATCAATTTTTAATACCTAACTTAGATCTGGGTGTTTTCTCCTTGGGAAATGTAAAGAAGGATTTTGGTTTGATTGCTTCACCTCATTTCTGAAGCAGCAAGGAAAGGCTCTTAGACAAAGTTGGTTAGTCAACACAGAAAAGTCCTGCCACAGCTAACACCAAGCTGAGGGAAATTGTTGGTTGACTACGGGGTATAGGTGATTTTGTGGATGATGTGATGGTTAATATTGTCAACTCAACAGGATCTGAATCACCTAGGAGATAAAGCTCAGCCTGCAGGTAAGGGAGATTCTAGATTGGGTTAATTGAGGTGGGAAGACCCACCCTAAATGTGGGTGGCACCATTCCATGGGCTGTGGTCTTAGATTGAATAAAAAAGAGAAAGTGAGCTCAACAGAAGCATTCATCTCTCTGTTTTCTGACCACAGATGCAATGTGACCAGCTGCCTCAAGTTTCTATTTCCATGCCTTCCTTGACATACACTGTAAGTCAAAATAAACCCTTCCTTCCTTAAGTTGCTTTTATCAGGCAGTGAAAAAATAACTAATACATAGGAGCTAGTTAACAAATAATAAATAAAAGGAGATAATTTTAAAAATTGGAAGCCTCTGAACTTTATAAGAACTTTATAAGTAGTATGACATGATGATAGAGTCAAAAATAATTCTGCAAATGTGAAACAAACAAGAAAAGACTAATTTAAAACAAATATAGCAGATCACAAATTAAAAAATGAATATGTCAGCAGTGTGCATGATCTTAGGATATACAAACAAGAGACTATGGTATATGATTTGAAAGTAATCTTTCCAAAATCCTCAGCACTACTGACAAAATTAAAAATCCAATTTAACATAACAAACCTTATACTTACCAGTTTATTTGGTGAAAATTGTCAGGAAGCAGAGAGAAGCTTGAGAGGAATTCTTATTTCTACTCCCAAAGAGAATCCTATTCTTGTTAACTTTTTGTATATATTCTTAGAGAGTTTATGATCAGGGTATCAATATATGATGAGAGATATGTACCCAACCCACCAGGTACCTACCAGGCGATTCCAAATTTTATCTACAAGGGTTGGATCACTCAACAGTAGAATGGGCTCACTCAATGAATCCCCAGATATCAGACGAAGTTTGGCTTCATTGACCACAGTAGAAAGTCCAATGGTGATAAATGATATTCCTGAAATTCTAGCATCTTCAGAAATACTTTGAACATCTGGACTCTTGGGATGATCGAGGCCATCAGTCATCAGCAAAGCCACTTTCACACCATCTTTACGTCCTTCTCTCTTAAGGAGCTTAGTGGCATTGGAGATGGCATAATAAGAGAAGGTGCCTTGCCCAATTAAATTCAAAGACTTGACCTTCTGCTTAAATGTCCATAGATCTTTCCAAGAAGAAAAAGGTGGATCAATCTGGACAGTGCTGCTAAACTGAAGTGCTGCCAGTTTGATGTCATATTTCAATGAATGACCAGGAGTCAACTGGAAAATTTTATCACTCAAACTGTCCACAAAATCTTTCTGATTATCAAAGAGGGCAATTTTAGAGCTTTCAGAGCTATCCACGATGAAGACAACATCAATGAAGCAGATGGAGTCTGAAAGAGAATGCAAAGAATCCACAACATAATTGTCCCAACGCATAATACACCATGCAACAGAACCCTAAAGTGATGTGCTTTGTATTTTGCTTCAGAGATCAGGAGTTCATTGAGCATGAGAGATATCCTGAAAGATGATAAGATGACAGACTGCCTTGGAGATAAAGCTTAATTTGTAAAGAACTAAATATCTTTGAACATCTACAAATTAATATCTTCTTATAAAATGCAAATCAAGACCAAACAAATATATATACTAAACATTGCTTTAATGATGATAAACCCATTTAAATCACAAAGGGAATGAGAGTGCATCATATTTTTAAGATTCAACAAATGGGAAAAAAGGTTAGACAGGGAGAGAGAGGTGAGAGATAAATAAAGCTTGGATGGTGTGAAAAAAACAGAAGGAATGTATTAGCTCAAAAGCCTACTGAAAAATACAGTATCTGAACATGAGTGCGCATGTATACCTAAAGGCTATATAACAAGAAACACAGCACCAGACAGGAGAAACCTCCCATCTAGTTGTTGGTCAGGGTGATCCAAGAGAGTCCCAAAATAACACAGGCAATTGCCACAGCCCTTGATTACCTCCCAGAACTTGAAGGTAAGACCCTATTGCAAAAGACAGGACATACGTCAGACACAGGACTTGGAGCAATGGAGCTGGAACTGGCCTGGAAGCCTTCTCCCTGAAGACTAGTTCTCATAGTTCTAGAGAATAGTATGCAAGCTGCTAAGGGAGAAAATCAATCGGTGATCCAACCCCAGCTTTAAAGTCTAATAACCACAACAATGACAGGCACAACAAAATATAGCAGTGCAGTACTGGCACTTTTATATTGGGCGTAATCAACAGCTATCTAATTGGACGTAAAGCCCTCTCAATAGGAGGGAATTTGTGGGTGGTACTGTAAACAGCCAAATACACATGGCTGGAGAGGTCATAGATACTAGAGAAAATCCTACCTCTGTCATATCCCTAGGCAAATATAATTTCTTACTGTATGCTAAATATGGATCCTAATATTTACAGTCAAGGATACCATTAACCACTCATCAAGGAAGCCTCTTTTTGCAACAGATGGAAACTATTAGAGAGTTCCACAACTGGTCACACAGAGAGAATAAGTTTCTGAGAGATGCCCAACCCTAAGTAACATGTCTACAATAGTACCTCTACCCCTAAGGCCCAAGGAACATAGCAGGGGGTAGAGAGAATACTAATGCATCTCTCAACTCTCATCAGCAAAGCTTCCTCAGGCAACAAAGGATGATGCACACAGAAGGTCACAACTGGCCAAAGTGTGGAGCATAAGAGACTGTAGAGTGTGTGTCCCTGGATAGGACTCTTATGTTAAACCTCATGGTTCAGGAACCATTTCAGAAGAGGGGGAGGAAAGACTTTAAGAGCCAGGGTTGGTACATGAACATAAGGAAACAGATTCTTCCAGGCTCATAGGAACTTGCTTATATAATATTACAGCAATGGTGTCAGCATGCACCAGACCCATGCAAACTCAATCAGAAAAAAATCCAGCATAGAATTGGGGAAATAAGGGGCTGGAGAGATGGCTCAGCGGTTAAGAGCAGTGATTGCTCTTGCAGAGGACCCAGGTTCGATTCCCAGCACCCACATGGCAGCTACAAACCATCCTTGACTCCAGTTCCAGGGGAATCTGATGCCCTCTTCTGACCTCTGCTGCACTGCATGACACGAGTGCACTCACATACATGCAGGCAATACACTCATACACATAAAATAAAAATTATTTAAAAAAAAAGAATTGGGGAAATGGGCAGCAGGCCCCAACATTGGCATAATAACTGTTGGCAGCTGATTACTGCTGGGTGAGGAAGAGCTGATCTTCTTTAAGGGAGAGACTCTAGATGGGCTGACTAGACTCTAATGGATGAACATGCACTGAGGGACATTTGGGTACACAAACTTGACTCGATAGGCCTTAGTATAGATGACAGAATGCATGAAATTTGGTGGTGGTCGGGGGTAACATGGATGGAGAAGTGGGTACAAAGATAACTAAGACATTTTATATGAAAAGCACAAAAAGTCAAAAAATGCATTGAAAAAACAAAATAACAATTTAAAAAATCAACAAATGCTAGGTAAAGCTGTCTAAAAGTGAATAAGGCTCTATCTAGTGCTTAGGCTATGTGTTATATTAGTACCTTGCATTCAAAGAAGATGATATCTACACATATCATAACAGGAGCTACAGGGAAAGCAACTAATTTCAAAACAGAGTTGAATGTGAAGCTTAGATCTGTTTCTTTCTAGTTAAGCAGCCTACAGTTTTAACTTGTCACTTAACCTCTCAGAACCTGTTTCTTTATAATAATGTGAGAGTGACTGTCTCTGTCCTTCCCTTTTTGATTGTAGAGTTCAAATAAGGTAATAAATGCACAAGTGCTCTAAAATCTCTGAGATGGCCTAAATGTATAAGAATCATTATCATCAGTATATAATTATATCAGGTAGAACATCATATGTCTACCTATATATGATTTGCTATTTAAATCAAATGCTATTTTAAAAAGTTGTCTCAGTGCTTTTATAGGCTAAAACTAATACTTTTTTAAAACTTTGTTTTACCCCGGAACTCGTTTTTCCTTGCAAGTATATTTGGCTTTGATCCTTTCTTTCTTTGTCCATTTACTGCTTGACTCATAAAAGCTGGCAAGAGCAGGAGACTGAAGATAAAATCTCTTTTCCTCATTATGGTAGATGGTGAAAGTTCATCTACTGGTAACACCTTGAAATAGAAAAATTAGTTAATAACATTTAAATCAAAGGTAATGATTGCTATTTTTAACTTTAAGCTTGCAGAGTCAAAAACTGGCTTGTGGGTTAGCAAGATGGTTCAGTAGGTTAAGGAGCTTTCCACAAAGTCTGATAACTTCAGTTCAGTTCCCTCCAGGACCCACACAGTATAAGGAGAGAACCGAACCAACCTACCAACCTCTGACCTCCATACACAGACCATGGTGCACTCTCTCGCTCTCTCTCACTCTCTCTCTCTCTCTCTCTCCTCTTCTCTTTCTCTCTCCTCTTCTCTTTCTCTCTCAGCAAACAAGTTTTAAAATGTAATTTTAAAAGTAATAAAAAATTTCTTTAATTGGCGTATGGCTGGAGAAAAGATCTTTCATTCATATTTCTAAGAAAATATTCACATTGAGGTTTTAAAAGTTTCTAACCCAAGTAAATCATGGCACCATGACCAAACATTTCTTAGCTAATATTTACTTATATTCAAACATCTGTATTGATGTAGTCTTAATTCCCATTATGTTAAGGAGAGCAGGGGGTGAGGAAAGTCAATGTTGCAATGCCATGCTCTTTAGGAACTGTAGTTCCATAACAGCACTGCTTTGACATTTCCAGATTCTTCAGAGTGAATTCAGTTCACTAGGTGGTTGTTCCATTCATTTTCATTATAGCTCCTTCTTTACATACCCAGCTCTTTCCTGGATCACATAAAACCACCATCCTTTCGGTCTTAATTTTATGCTGACATTGTCAGTGTGTTCAGAGTTCAAGTCAAAATTTAAATATTTTTGGCTTTCACACAACTTCCTTTCTATTTTCTGTCTTGCTTTGAAAGTTTGTTTCCATCAGAGTTCAAAAGTGAAAGTGCATGTCTAATAAATTGAAAGAGCAAGAGAGCAAAAGCCAATAGATTTGCTCCTTTGGTATCTTGCCTTCAGAGAATATGAACTGGGAAATCATGATCACGATTATTCCAGGCTTTCAAAAGAGGGTGGGAATAAATGCAAAGGCAGTGCTGAGTGAGCTAGGAGGTTGACTTCTTTCATACATGCCAGATGGATAACCCCTAAAAAGAAATAAGGCCGTTGGGTTGGGAATACAGCAATGGATGGCTTCAGGCCATAGCCTGCTCCTCACCTTGCATGCATCAGGAAGTTTATTAAGAGATCTTTACTTCTTGTGCTGGCCCATATACCAAGAGAGATTGGCCAAATGACAACTGAACTTCAGACCAGGTATGCTAAGATGTGAAGACAGTTGGTATTAAAAGCAAAAACAAAAACCACAAGAATTATGCTAAAGAAATAGAACATACAAAGGGCATCTCCTTGCTAACCAAGGAGAAGACTAGAAAAGATCTACAACTTTAATTCTGACAATTAGTGTAAACATAGTTATGTTTACAAAATAGCTGCTATTGTATTTTCAGAGGGAAAAAGGAATAACACAGTACCACATCATGTTGGAACTTTCTCTTTGGTTGAATCTATACCATGAAGAACAGAAGTTCTGGAAATAAGAGACTGAGAAGAAGGGCTATTAGGACTTTGAAATAGTGGCTTTAAAAAACAGCTTTTTTTTTTAACCTAAAACTAAGTACCTGAACTTGTACTTTTCTTGGCATTGAATTGTGGATTCTGCCTAAACCCTGTGTGCATGACAGTCACTAATATAATTCAATCATTGCGATCATCCTCCTGTCTCTGTATTATGGTTTGTTCTGATAACCAATTTTAACCAAACCTTGCTATTCCTTTTTTCCCCAGAGCATCCGCAGAACATTCTCCTGACTGGCTTTTTTCTTTCCTAGCTTTTCAGCTCTATTACTGTTCCGAACTCTTGCTCCTTTATTAATTTGACACTGTGGGGCACACCCAGTTATCATTTTCAGCATGTTTTATTGCTCCAGTTCTTAATAATTCTTACCTTTCTTTTAGAAAGATGTACAAATGGGTTGCAGGAGTGGGAAATGCAATTAGTTAAATGAAAGAAATGTTATATTAATATAGACTTAATTTTATAAATCTTTTGACAAATGTTATATTTTAGCTTTTTGCCTAAAAGATATTTCAGGTATAAATCAATAAATTCAAGAGGCTTTATATTAAAATCTGTTTATGTAAGCGTCTAATTTTATAAAATTATCTTTCGGTAGATTTACTGATTTTGTTCACATTGTTTGTATTTCTTTTGTTTGTGCAAGAAGACAAAAATTATTGAATATTCTTTATTCAAATTATCAAGCTAATCAAATTATAAAATATTTTAGAATTATTTCTGATTTATAAAACTTCATTCCAAAATTTTTAGATGGTTTCCAAAAGATAGTGACATCAATGTAGTACAATTTAACAGACTTTAAATTAAGAATAAAATTTGAAATAAAAAATTTAAATACCTTTAAAATAGGCTCTAAATTTATATCTTTGGTAATCATTCATATTTATCTAACAATCGATTGCTAGTAGCAGTAGAGGGTAAAATTTCAGATAACTTTCCTTCACATAACAAGTACATCAACCCTTTAGTCTTGCACAGTTCCTAGATGATCCTATCTGAGTTAAGTAATTAAAACAAAGCAGTTATGTCTTACCTTAGGAAGCTTGTTAAGCAGGAATGAGGGACCAGGGAAGTAGATATGTACAGCATCTACTATTGTTAGGGATGGGGTTAACTATTTGATACCGTTCTGTTCTGTGGGAAATAACTGTCTGTGCTTTTGAATTTTTTACAATCTCTTCTTCATGTTTATTAGACTAAGTTAAAACAAGAGTGGTCAGGCATTTGGCCAAGGTACAAGATCTGGGTGGAACCAGTAAGCAATTAAAGGAACAGTATCCTTTCAGAATAAGTGTGTGTTTTCTAGAGTATAGTTTGGGGGGGAAATCGAGCCAATTGTCTACATTTCAGGCACTTACTGACAATCTGCCTTTGTTTCTCATGCCATATCCTCTTCTGGTTCCTATTTTTCTCTCTGCCTAGGGTTAGCTCTCTGAGTCACTGGTTATAAACAGCTCTGAGAAGGCATATAAATAACATCAGACTGAGATGAAAAACTGTTTTTTCAAGAAAGTTAGTGGATTAAAAATTACTGAAGTTGGATGATGAGTAAATAGAGGGCCATAATTTTAGTCTTTCTACTTCTGATCTTTTGAAATTTTTCATAATAAAAAGTTTAAGTAAAATATAGTCAAACTGAAATCTGAGTTAAGTTCTAGCTCTGCCCCTAACTCCTATGAGAGCTTTGCTTTCCCACCAGGAAATGAGGAAGTAGACTGATTTCTTAAGATCTTTTTCAAACTATAAGTAACCAAGGGAAAACCTAACTAAATTCTTCAGCTCCAGTTGCTTTTAGTTGGTTTTAAGACTCACTAACTTTGGAGGGTCGGAGCTGAACAGTTGGTCTCTTACTAGCTTTGCTGTAGCAACACCATCAACTTCAGCCAGCTGGCAGGTTACAGCTATTCTGTGAAAAGCTGCATTTCACCATCTTTTCTAGAGACAGGGGCTTTTCTGCTTCTCTGGGGGGACTGTGCCTTTACCTGTTCTCTGATTAATGCTACCTTATATATCCTAATGACTAACTTCAGGGTTTCCTAAGCCTGAGAAGAACTGAACAAGACATGAGACACACTTTCTAATCACTAACTTTTTTTAGAATTGCAGAAGCCAGACCATCCAGTGACCCTCAAATACAGCAACCTGTGCATTAGAAAAGTGGGACACCTACCTGACATGCCTCCCTATCAGAGTCTTATGCCTTCAAGCCCTAGACAAAAATGGATTTTGCTGGTGATAGCCTCCATCCTTGGTTGCTGTCTTTCTGAACACATCTATTTTCCTCATCCAAACAACTTGTCTTCAAGTCAAGTGGCATTTTCAAATGACCAGGAATGAACTTGAGTTTGTGATCACAGTTTTCAGTGGCGGGTTTCAGTTGCAGACTGAGGTGTCTAGCCAAGAAAGGAGGTCGCTGTAGCCATCCCATTGCCTTTTTCCTATTTTTCACCTTGTGGACCCAGTCCATGTTAAGTAAATGTTGATCAGAGCAAAATGCACCCCCTCCCTCCATAACTGACAGACAGACTCCTCTGTGTGCTACCTTTCAGCCTGAGAACAGCGTGATTCCTAGAGAAGGCAATATACATGTTAATGTTATAATTTTTTTAATTAGATTTCTTTTTTTATTGGGTGAGGAAAGGGTGCATACACCACAGTGCACATGTGGAGGTCAGGCAACAACTTTGTAGTGCTGATTCTCTCCTTCCACCTCTACATAGATTCCAAGGATTGAACTCAGGTCATCAGGCTTATACCACAAGTGCTTGCAGGCCCCAAAATTAGCTATCTTAGGAAGGCATTTTAACACTACGTATTTCTTTAATACAACAATACTAGATTCTGTCTTGTGATCACCAAGCAGGTGCCGGGCACTGTGCTCAGTGTTTCACATGTTGTGCCATTTACCCTCCACAGGAACACATGGTAGAGAACAAATGATGGTGGTTAAAAGAGAATTTCAGTAGCCAGTATTTGTAGAGGGAAGGATGTCCAAGAGTTTAAAGGACAACCTGAGGGACCTTTGTGGTGACAGAATTGCTGCATATGGCTTTCAATGAAAACATCCTCGCTGTGACATCATAAGTCCTGCATGATGTTATCAATTGGGAGACACTGAGTCAAGAACAGCATGCTTTCAGATTATTATTCTTGTTGTTGTTATTATGATTATTTTACAGTTGCATGTGAATTTGAAATTATCTCAAGGAACTTTCCTGGGGCTTCCATGTGAAAACCATATGCTCACCTACTTGCCTGTGAATGTTAGCCATACTTTTCACTTTCATGAGACATGGAACATGGAAAGGGAAGAGACATTTTTTTAAAGGTCAGCTTTCCTTTTCCTGGAGCAAATTAATAGCATTCAGAATTTAAAATGCCTCTGTGAAGCAAACTGATGATCCACAGAGAGGAGAAATGGA